CCGACAGACTTAGGTCTAAACAAGGATACTCTTGTTCTATAAAAAATTGAACACACTAAACCAGATTTTTACCATCTTTCAACCATTGCGCGACAGTTTAAAAAAATATGAATCGATTTATCTAAATAATATAGTGAAACTAGCGCTCCCCTGAAGTAAGATCCAAATAAGTTTCAAAGTCGCAATTGTTGTAAAAAAAAACTGCAAATTTTTATTATTATGTTATAAAAACTTTCTCAATTAGTCATTGAATGAGGCACGTTGAGCTAAATCGTAATATTTTGATGTCAAGTTTCTCCATTTTAGACATTAGTCATTTGTCTGAATCACCCTTTATAATGTGAACAATAGTAGGCCCAAATTTTTCCCATTGGGAAACCTTACTTACCAATTGTAGAGATGGAAGGTAATCTCCTCTTCCGGAGGAGTGTACTTGTAGACCTTGTTTACGTCGACAATGGGATAAAGCAGAGCGATGGTTTCGCGCGAACACCACGATATCAAAACTAGAACGTCCCACCTCATTATAAACTATTCGATCGGACTGCGTTGTTGATACTTGAAACGCGAAAAATGTCTGAGTTGCGTTTCTGTATATTTTGTACAGTTTTTATAGGTTGGACTGTTGCAACATGTTTTGGACTCGTTAATTATTACATAACATAAATCATTGATATACAAGGTATCCCGAAATTAGTGGATCAAACTATAGCAGCATATTCTACGTCCAAAATGAGACCTGACCTACCGACTCTAACAAAGCCATATGCCGTAAAAGGCATGGACTTGGAAGTGGTTTATTATTCATATAGACCTTGAAGGAAAATTTTTAAATTTTTCCCTCAAGTGAAGTGAAAATTAGGCACTGAAATGGAATTAATAAGATAGCCTTTTGCTGCCACTGACATTTATGGTATTTACTTTTTCAAATTGTCTCTGAAGTTTTTCTAATTTAGACTTTTGTAAGTATGGAGCGTTTTTCCAACAGAGAATTAGCAGATGGAGTAACAGGCGTGCGAACAGAAGTAAGAAACAGAACGTAGATCGTTTAGTCAATCTCAGGGGCAAGGACGGCCAATAATTAAAAAAAAAAAAACGGCCATGGTATTTTTTGTTAATAAATTCTTTGATTAATTCTATCAAATTGAGTAGTCAAAACATATCACCATGGTTCACTACTCAAACAGTTAAGTTTGTTAAAATCGTATTAATCTGTTTTTTGCTTTTAACTCCCGAAATTGTTCAACATATTTATATTACTTTATAAATCATTTTAGATCTTCAAAACTGTCGTTTCAAAATTTTTTATCCAATCTAAAATTGTAAAAATATACTTTGAATTTCATTAAAAAAAAAATAAGTTAGTGTCTGGTTCGAGTAGATGTGGTAACGCTGTGATGTCCCAAGTATTTTAAAAATAGAAATCACAGCCCGGTAGGAGGATATAATAACCAACCAAATTTTTCCCTTCTTCATATATCCTCTAATAGGTCAAAGAGTTTGGGACACCCCGTATGTTATGGAGTTGGAATATAATTTACAATATATTTGCAAGCAAATATAAATAATCATTTTTATTTTTTTGTTTTAATTTTGTTTCTACGTTAGACAGCTGGTTAGTATGATCAATTTACATTGTTTAATGACCAGATTTTTCCTTTCTACTTTTATATTTACTTAATATTTTAAATAGTTTGTGTACTATCCAATTGGCTAATTTGAACCCTTTCATACATTTGTACCTCACTGTATCTACCATGTTTTTTGACAGGTGCGGTAATTAAATAAAAAATTAAGTGTTTTGAGCGTATAACGTTTTTTATAAAAAGCTGTGAAGTATTAAAAGTGCAAGTCACACGAGCTTAAGTTCTGAACTGTACCTGCAAATAATCAGTTCATCACACGTTTAATGCACCTTTAGTATCTAAACCAACAGCTATTGTATTATGCTAAAATAAAATTTTCATTTTAACTGAAGCAAATTTTTAGTTTGTATAGTAACGAGCTGCTTTATCCACTTATAAGAGAGTCTTTAGTGAGTTTACAAATTAGCTGATTAGTTAGAAAACTAACCGATCAACCAAATTAATTGCATGAATTAAATGATGTTTATTTATTATTATTAGGTTACATCCATATATTACATACCGGGTGACACAACGGCTTGAGATAGAGATTTCAAATTTGGAAGGGTTAATATAGGCTGAATGTTCAATTTCTGACAATATGTAGTCAATGGTTGCACTTCCGGTTTGACTGGAAACGACAGTAATTTTCGAATTTTAAATGGCACAATCTATATTTTTTTACATTTTTGGATTCAGGAGATTATTCTAAGTAGTATAGGAAGGTTTCTCTCTTTTTTTTTTAAATTTTTTACTTAATTGTTGAAAATTGTGCTTTGAAGGCTGTGACCATCATAAATTCTATTTACCGGATCACCTGATCATGGGAAAAATTTTAAATAAAACTTTTTTTTACTTGCCTAATTGCAAATAGCATTTCATGTAATGAACTATTATTTTTTTAGGATAACCTAGTATTTTCAAATAGAACCTAGTAGGAACAAAAACTTTTTAAAACCGGCACTTCTTTTGCAATATTTTGACACCACAAAATCCGTTAAAAAATAAGTTCATAGGAAGGAAAAAACCAGATGAGTAAATTTAAAAAAATATATATATATTTCTCAGGCTACTTTACTTCTATTTATTATTAATTGTCAAGTCGGTAAGATTAAAAATGTAGAATCTCATGCAGTGGAAAGGAAAAAATATATTAGTATTTAAAAACAAATAAAATTCAAAATTCTTCTGAGATTCGAACATTAGAATTTTTTGTTGAAAGTGTTTTATTATGTTAAAAAGCTTTTGGAATACGGAGATACAGTCTACGAACAATTGTTCCAACTCGAAACAACAAGAGAATAGAAATATTTTTTTTCTTTTCAAATCTGTCACTTTTTGGGATAATTGAACACAACAGTTTGAAAATCTGTTAGAAAATATTACCTCAACAATGTAGGTAGAATCGACTTGAAAGTGGTATATCAACGTGTCTTACTGTAAGACAAGTTTTACATTGACACAAAACATCACATCCATTTATTTTGGAACTGGAGTTTTGTATTTATTTCAATTAAATAAGTACGATAGATATTTACTTAATTTCATACTTCTTGTATTCGACACTCCCACGCTCTAGAAATGACATTCTCTGCAACCCTTCCTAACATTTCTGGAGTTATACTATCAAATGCAGCCAATATTCTCCGCTGTAATTCTTGTAGGTCGAAGTTACATAAACACGGTCTTTCACGTACCCCCAAACTAAAAAATCTAACGGTGTCAAGTCCGGTGACCGTAGGGGCTAATTGACTTCACGTAGATGTTCAGTTTACATCTCTAAAATTATGGGGAGGCGCTCCATCCTGCTGAAAATACATATTTTATATCACGACAAGAGGTAAATCATCTAACGAGTCTTCAATTTCATTTTTAGGAACTGTAAATGCACCAGCTAAGGCACCATAAAAAAAACAAGTGCAATAATTCGCCTTCATATCACTCCTGCCCAAACATTGATTCCGAACCTTTCTTAAAACTGTCCGTGACGAATAATTCTTTGGTTATTTAAAGACTAGTATCTGTTGTTCTGTCGGTTACACATAGCATTATTTGAGAATCGTGACTCATTAGTGAACACAATTAAGTTAAGTTAATACACTCGTCGTATTTATCTAACAGCCAATTACAATATCCAAGTCTTCTTATAAAGTCAGCTTCATAAAGGTGTTGATAAAGGTTATACTGAACATAATGGTAGCCGTGTTTTTTTTTTAAATTCTACCCACAGATTCTCCTGAGATGTCTAATTCTAATGTCACTTCTCTTAGCAATGCAGCTGGATTTACGTTGACATATCCCATTGGTTTCCATTTCTGCAATTATAATAAAATTATAATGTCAACTCTTAAAGCAAGAATGTGCAGAAAGGCGACGTCCCGGATAGCGGGCTGCATATAATGCACGGACCTGTCGACAGTTTCTTCTGCATTTCCCGTTTATCAAAAACATCAACTTTTTCTCCATTTGCAAATTGATTATTATTTTCCATGATAATCCAAATCGATAACACGGCAAAATCTGCCAGACTTGATGATGAATAGAAGCAAAAGTAAAATTTTGTATTTACGTATCTGGTTTTTTTCCTTCCTGTGAGTATATTTGTTAACCTATTTTGAAAATTACGTTGTCAAAATGTTTCAAAAAAGTACTGGTTTTAAAAAGTTCTCCAGTCCACTAGGGTGCTATTTGAAAAAGCTAGGTTATCCTAAAAAATTAATAGTTCATTACATTAAATGATATTTACCATTAGACGAGGAAAGAAAAGTTTCATTTACAATTTTTCACATGATCAGGTGATCCGGTAAATAGTATTAATGATGGCCATGGCCTCGTAGACACAGTTTACAAAAATTAAATAAAAATTAAAAAAAAAGAGAAAATCCAAAAATGCAAAAAAATAAAGCTATATCTCTATCTCACGCCGTTTAAAAGTTATAGGGTGTTCCCAAAGAGTAAAAGTTTTTTTTCCAGGATGGCATTTTATAATATAAGTGAATAGTTGGAGAAATTTTTAACCAATTTTCAAGTAAAGTGCTTCCAGTTTCAGTTTTGTTCAAATAATAATATAAAATACTATCTAAACTAATAAGCAATCAATAAATTTTCTTTTTCTCCAGAATGGCGTTTTATAAAACTAGTAACGATTTAAATTCTGTAGGGTATAACCTTTGGTTCGAACGTCTATACATTATTATATAGACGTTCTCATCTTAAAAAAAACGTGTCAATGGACCCACAAAAAAAAGGATTATATCTAAACTTCAACCTCGGTATCCTCGTAAATAGCTATACAAGATAACCACATAACTTTCGTTAAAAATTGCTATTTTTCTTCGTTGTTGTTGTCCCATGCACTCACAAAATCTTTTTCAGATTATCACGGCGGATCCGCAAGCCGTCAAGGACAGAAAATTTGTCCTTGGCGAGGAACGATTCAATTCTACAAACTTCCTGACCCTGTGGGATTTCGAGGGAGTATTCAAGTACTCGCCTCTATTTTACGGGTGGTACACCAACAGGGATTATAATGATTCAGCCATTTTAAACGAAGTCGACCACAGGAAGCACATGTCGCACGGCTATCGACTACCCTTCGCTTATTTCGTCACAGGCCTGGTTGTATACGCTTACAGCTTTTTTGCAACTCTGAGAAAGTGAGTCATTGGAATATCCACAGTATACTTGATCTATCGATCCATCAAACTCGTTATTGTTCACTTCGGAAAGAACCCAGCGGTTGTCTGAATGAAGGCAGTGACGAGCTTGTTGCTGATAGAATGATATGTTGCTTTGCTAGATATTTATTTCACAAAGCGATTTTTCTCACGAGGTAATTTAAGGGAACATGGGTTCTTGAGAAGAAGCAAGTGTTAATAAGCACGAGTTGGTTGGACTACTTTCACTACTGTTACTCTGTACTCTACGGACTTTCACACCTTGGATAATAACCAGGATAGAGGATTAATTTGGTGGTCATATTATAGATGTAGATTTGGCTGGAGAAGGTTAGAGGTAACTCGGTGCACTGGAATGTTTATCATTTGCAGGCGATGGGTGTCACAAAGTTTAAGAAATCAAGTAAATTTTTCAGTTAGGGCTGAGAAAAAGCACTCAATCTTGTTTAAGGGATCCAAAAAAAAGGCGCAGTTAAAGATACATGGACATCACTAAAAGTAAAAATATGAATTCTTCAACTGATCAGTCAATACTATAAACTATAAAGCTCAAATAAACATTCAATTTTACTCAAACAGGTTCTCATTTTGTTAACAAAATCGTTTACAAAATCAACTAAATCGCACGCATGCGTTTACCGGTTACTGTGACATAGATTTTTTACTTACAGTATTGCAAAAAGAGAGAAAAACTCTGCAGAATGATGAAGATTTGTTTATTATGTGCAAAAATTTTATTGTGGTATAAGTGATATAACAACTTGTATATTGTGCCGCGGCACCACACTGCCTTGTACCAGAGAGAGGGTGATCAATTCCCTTCCGCCCGACGTCAGATCGACTCCAAACAAAACAATCTTTAAAATTAAATTAAAAACTAATCTTTTGAACAGTCGCAAGCTTGCACTAGATCTCGAATATTTCATAATATTCATGTTTCTCTGAAAATTTTGCCTTGTCCTTTCATTCAATTCTTTAGTAGTATTAAGGATGTGACAAGCAGCTTTCTGGTGACTGCTTATCTTCCGTTTAGCCTTTTGAATTTGTTTTCGTTAATTTCTGGGGACCCGTTTCACACTATGTCGATAAAAATCGAACCAGCACCTAGTCACCCCTACCCCTCCGTAGCTTGCTTTGGCCATCTAAAATCTAAAGCATTGTTACGAATTAGGATGGCCGAGAACTCAAGGATGTCAAAACTGTCGGAAAAAGATGACGAGTGCATTTTCAGCTGGAAACTATTCACTGCTTGGGACTATATGATAGGAAACGCAGAAACTGCCCACAATAGAGTTGCGTCAATTGTCATGGGCTTCAAAGAGGCCTTATTAGAAGAAGCGGAGAAAAAGCGGGAATCGAGAAAGCAAGTATTGCGGTGAAAAATCAACACAACAAACCAAACCCAAACTCTGGCTTATGCAAATTAATATTCGTCGAAATTTGAAATTTAGACAGCGGATTTTTCGTAAAACATTCAAATGCGCCACTAGATTATACGTAAAACGTCAAAAAACTTTATTTCTTAAAACTCGATATTTTTTGGCAAATAACAACAACCAAATTTGATTGAAAGGGACTCCACATCATATCCAACTATGATTGCCAAATTATAGAACAAGAAAGTCGTTCAATCATTTATGAGAACACAGAAAATTATTGAAAAAAATCTGAAGCGGTCACTGCAGTTTCCTCATAAAATTGTCCGACAAATTAATCGCCATTTTCAAAATTAGCGAAAATTGAAAAATGTCCTGTATCTCAATTAGTTGTAAAGTGTAGTTTAGATCGTGACATGCGAATCGAATTTGCTCTATGTAGTTTAGAAATAGGTTTTTCCAATTAAAACCCTCCTTAACTGAGTGTTACAAATATTATAACGCTGGGAATATATAAGAACAAAAAAGTAGAAATTCTACATTACTAACTGTTTTTAAAAACAATAAAATTAAATTTAAAAATCATAGTTTTTTATGAAAGCCTATATTGCAATCTATCTATATTGCTTATTCTACTTTCAGAGCCGCTTCGCCAAGATGGTGAAGTAGAGTAGATTAGAGTAGTAGAATAGACATACCTATATAAGAAAGGAAAGTTTCATCTGGAAAAAATTGCAATATGTGTAATTATATTATTATTATAATATATAATTATTTATAGCAATAGTTTTGGTTAGTTTTAATTTAATTATCCTTTTTTGTTGAACAAAGATACGGTCCAAGTCTACTGCTCTTCCCCAACTCATGATATTGTAAGAGATTACTGAGTATACTGTTGTAGTAGACATTTAAAAGAGAAGTATTTAAGGAAGATTTCAATGTTAAGATACCAAAATAAGAGCTATTAAGTTTTTTTGATATACAGTCTATTTGATTGAACGGCCTTAATTGACAGCCAAGTTATGTACCTCGAAATTTTATATGCGAATGTTACTTACCTAATTTTGGTCTATTTTGACACTTAACAGGTCTAAAGGATCAGTTTTTTTAGGGTTTAATATAAGGTGGTTTTCCATAGATTTCTTTACAAGCTTTCCCCGGGATTAAGATGGTCAGATCGTCACAATATTGATATAATTTTATGTCATCCAGATATTCTGAGAGGGCAGCTATATATGCCTTAAATAATAAAGGACCCGAGGTCGACTTGCGCTGGCGTAACATCTTTCGAAGGAGGGAAAATTAGAGATAGTAGAGATACCACGCACTCTGGATTCTCAACCCCTTCGTGTGCCGCACCCATTATTCTGATTTGAGTTTTTTTTTTTTGGTTAACTTGGTAGATGTTCACATTTCTTCTAAATCTTAGAGTCCTGACTTTACATTTGCAAAATTTACGTAGCCAAGAATATATCTCGGTGTGTGTTGGAGAGTTTTTACCCAAAAATGAACGAACTTATTACATTTCATTGCATCAAATCACATACAAAGTGTTTCGCTAACGATTCTCTAAAGACAACTCTTTTATTTTGACAGTTCGGTAAATATAGGACAAGGTCTATGACAACCCTGCCCCGAGACTTTACTTCAGTTTTTTTGGTATATTTATTTTTTGCCAAGTAGTAGAGAACCAGTCTAATGTCGTAACTCCCAAAGACCAGTTCAATTTTTGTTTCACGGACGGTATTTTACCACCCTGTAAATCTGCTGACTCGCAGATGTTGGAGGTAACTGACAAATACCCAAACTAACCAAACACACATTTTTATGTAAAATTCAGCATTCAAATTTTACAATAACAATATGGATGAAAATATATTTTTCACAATATTTAAAATACTAGACAAATCAACCTCGTGGATAAACACAACACAGTTGTCTCAGCAAGAGATTGAAAACGCTTGCCCATCTGTGACAATAGTAGAAAGCAAACTTAAGGTTAATTATGTGTACCGCTTGGATATCACGGATTAACAGAACAATCTATTTCAGTTGGAAAGTGATTTGTTTTCGCGTGTTAGTAAACACCCTTGTGGCTGGACTGTTGTCATTTTCGGCCTTCGCAGTGATCGTGGTGGTCAAGCGGTCTACCGATCCGGATGCAAACAGCACAGTATGGCGCAGGAACGAGATAACCGTCGTCATGTCTTTGATTACGTTATTTTTCCCGATGCTGTTCGAGGTTTTAGGCCTGCTTGAGCAGTATCACCCTAGGAAACAATTGCGGCTCCAATTGGCCAGGTATAATAAAGCCTCTTCAAATTTTATTTTTGCATAATTATGTTTGCTTGCATTTTAGGATTATGGTATTGAATCTTCTCAATTTATACTCCCTCATATTTGCGTTATTCGATAAAATTTCGGATATGGTAAGTATGACACTAGTGCCAACGAATGTTAACAAGATAAGGGCGGTCACTCCAAACAATGCCCGTCTCCCTCGCCATCCTCTCTAACTTCCTAATAGCACTTGGTGAGCCGCTTTCTCTACTTAATATCGCCAGCCATATTCCCCCGTCACACCGTAGCTCAAAAACTTCAAGTGACTGTTGTTCATGTAATATAAAGGGTGTTCCGAATTTAAGAGGGACTATTGGAATCTCCGAAGTCCGTTAAATCCAGACAAAGTTGCGTATTTAGGCGCTTAATTTAAAATTTGGATTAGTGTCCGAGATATCCAAGAAAAACAGAAAATCATCAATTTCTTTTAAATATTTTCCTATCCTTAATTATTTTTTTTAAACAAACGACACGTTTTCATTTTGACATTTTCTCCCCTAGAAGTTAACTTTATTTGAATATGACGTTTCGGTTTTCGGTCCATCATTAGCTTCATTCTTACATAGTTGCATGTAATCATGTAAACATGTTTTGAAATATTGCGCAACGTGATATCTTAAGTGTTTATTAAAATTCAATCAGAAATTCTAGAAATTGGTATTGGTATTGGTAGTACGGCATCTAATATTTTTTTTAATAATTTTTTAACAAGACGAGATATGAGTATAGTCGCCGACTGGAAATACCGAGCATGCGATTATGGAGGAAATTACATTCAAACCACTATAATTTTCTTAAAATCCACACAGCAGATGATCACTTTTAATTTAAAATAATTTGGATTGGTAATGTAGTCTTACAACTTACGCTTCATTTAATAACCAACATTATTTCCAAATAAGTGGACAGGAAATGGTATGCCTATATGTTGGCCTACCAGAAGGCCAGATATAAATCCACTGGATTAATTTTAAGACCCCGAATGAGATAAACGAACTATGGTTCAATGTAATTCGAGAAATCAAAGCTATTAAAATTCTTAAGACTGATTGCAAAATGCATCGAAGCAGGTGGCTTTCAATTTGAACATTCTATATGATTCTATTTAACAGTAATGTGATAAGTGTATTATTCTCAAGTGTTCAGGTGTTTTCTTGTTGATTAGCGGTAATAAAATATTTTTTTAAATTTATTTTAAAAACGTATTTTTTGCTACTGTAATAATTCAAGGTAAAATGTCAATTAAATTTTAATATTTACAAATACGTCAAGATGTTACCGTAAATATCTTTTTAATTAGACTGTTATTAAAGTACCCTTTCCGACCTCATAAACGAATAATGGGAGGCAATATGCAATATATGAGTTAAGGTGGAAAGTGTTCAAAAATGAGAAGAACGGCTGTTTATTAACATCCACCTCAAATCGTTCCTAAATTGCGAATGCAAGTAATGCGACAGCTGCGGTACTAGAGGTAAATTAATAAATATAAAAATAATTATATAATATTATAATTATAGAGCAGGTAATTGAGCATTACATAATTGTAATAAAAATTATTATTAAAAAACAATCTAAAATTTTCAATACATTTGTAAATTTTAGTCATCAACTTTTTACATTCCACTATCTTTATTCCCTCTTGGAAGAAGGTTTCAATGTCCCTCAACTTAAAAGTGGCGAGTATTCTTTCTCTACAAAAAGTGATTTTCAGTCTTTTCTAAAGGAGAATTTGTTGTCCATGGTGCTTACTTTTATTCTATAAGCAGAACGATTTTATTATTGTTCTTATTTTACTTTTCATTCTCATCTATTGCATTTTCTTTTCTTCCTGTACTTTTCTTTGGTGACCTGATGGGAGGCGGTATTTATCAGCTTGCACAAGTCGTTATGTTGTTGAATGTCCAACTCCAGTCATATTTGAACCCATTTCAATTATTTTTGCAACTCTGAATGTGGAGTTTTGGTGGCTGACAGCTGAGAATAATAATTTTCTTATTTTTAAAAGGCGTAGTTTTACTCATTTGTTCCTTAACCATAAATTCAATAACACTAGTCATTGTCAAAAACGAACGTTGCCAATATCTGCCAGAAAATAAATTCAATTCTAATTTGAAACAGTAAGGTACAGGTAGGCCAACTACCTATCTATCTAGCTGCCAATTTCCAGACCTTTCTCAATCCTAATATAAAGAACTGGGCAATATCTAATTCGGCCTTAAAAAAAAATCATAACCTTGGTTTGATACTGAATAATAAACAAGATCGTTATTCATTTTTCATGACTTTATGTTGTTAGCTACTTCGGAATTCTTATTTCCAACGAAACTAATTTGGAGCTTTACACAAACTTAAATTGTCTATCTATTAATGTAATTAAGCAAACCTAAAATCATTACATTTACTAAAGGTGACCAGCTTCACTTCTCCTCTCTTTCTAGGGAAATGGCGGAAAGCTCAGTAATCAAAGCCAATCAGTTAACCGAAAGATTATTTTCAACAACGTCTAAAACCAAAAACAAGTCAGGAAAAAACTAATTATTTCGGAGCACTGCACAAACTTTAATTATCTATCTACTAATGTAAGCAAAGCTAAAATCATTGAATTTAATAGAGGTGGCCAGCTTGCTCTTTTTCTTTGAAACTTAATAATCGTCCTGTTGAAATAGTGTCCTAAATATACTTCCTTGGACGTTACCTTCAATTCCTCTTCTCAGTAATCATAGACAATCAGTTAACCGGAATATTATTTTCAACAAAACCAAAAGCAAGCAGGGAAAAAAACTGTCTGATTCCTAGATCTAGGACCTGGAACAAAGTCAAACAAACTCCTCTTAAAGAACCCTTTGTTTACAGAAATCAACTGCTTCTGAATTTGTCTTTGCAGGTTTTATTCATATATCTCCTATTGTCTTCAAAATGGTCCTAAACTTCCTCATTAAAATTCACAGGAAAACACACTAAAATTTGTTTTTGCCTACAAATTCAATTTCTCGATTCCCCTGAAACCAAATTTGATTGCAAGCAACAATCAGCGTTACTATACATCTTGGAATATAGCAAAAACCTATTTTGCTTGAAAAAATGCGAATGTTTGGGTGCGACATTGCTATTGCACAAAGCTCAGCATATACTTTTCTACTGATTTCACTCATCACATATCCTGACCGACAGAAAACTTCTGGCTCCGTGATCTATAATTTATTGACAAATTAATTTCTCAAATTAGAAAAATGCTTTCTCTCTACTTAACCTACAATGATAAATAACTTTAAAATAAATTGCTCTATTTGTAATAGACATGATGTAGAAACTGTCTATGTACTCTTCTTATCTCTCTATATGCTTGCGTCCGTTCCCGCGATTTTGCTTAACTTACTGTCCAAAAAAGCCAGGGAAATAACTTTGACGGTTGGCAACATATTTCAGCTCAGAGCGTTTCTGTGGAATGAGAGAGCGTTTTGTTTCTTTTTGTATTAACCATTCCTTTTTGTTTTTTTTTTCTTTTCTTCCTTTTTGTATGAAATTAAATGGTATGGTTGCAGACCCTTATTTAGAAGAATGTAATGTTTCCCGTAAACAATAAAAAAATAAATTGAAGTCCAAATTAAAAAGCGAAAACGGTTGGTTCTTTTGAAACAATATGCCACAAGTGGCAATATTTTGCTAAAGCAATCTCGTTAACATTCGGTGGCTATGCTCGGCTCGGTTAGCTACCCAGTCAACAAAATTTAAAAATGAACCAGTTTTCTCTATCAATATAGACGGTGTTGCTTCAAGAATTCAAAAATGAATCGACCAGGAACGCAGACGCCGATCTGAATACGTCAACGACTGCGATTAACGTTCTAACCACCGAAACGTCGCCTGATAAGACAGCCGACTGTATGTGCTACGATAACGATATTTTCAAACAAGTGCTCACTTCCGCCGATTTGATATCCGAAGCAGCTCACAACGTATCGCTTTACATTATGCCGAAACTGGAAGACCTACGAAACAACGTCTCCGAAGTCTTTTTGAGTACTTACGCCAACATGACAGAAAGCGTGTCACCAAATAGTACCGAGTTAAACTTCCTCGACATCAAAGACACGTTTGTGGACTACTTGACATACTTGCTATCTCAATTCGCGTCGAACACGTCCACCGAATTAAACTCGACTGGCTGGTACAACCATAGCACCGATCAGTACTTTAAAACGACAATTTCCTCGCTCCTAAACGCTACATACCCTTCGGACGACGAGAGGTTCGACACTCAACTCTCTACGCTTTACGACGACGTGTCGTCCACTGTGACGTCGTTTGTTACTTCCACTTCTACATCTGAAATGGAGGGGTTCACCACCGCACTGGTACCGAGAGACGCGATCTGCATAGAACTGTGTCGAAATTCGTTAAAGCCGCAGACCACGGCCATCTCAACCAGGCACGTTTCCGACTACATCAGAAACGCCAAGCTGCGCAGCCTTTGCTGGGAAACCATGTTCGGGCAGGAACTGATTAAGTTGACTGTGATGGACTTAATCATGACCGGTTTATCTACCTTGGCGATGGACTTTTTTAGGTAAAGTTAGTTTGCGATCTCTGGTAAAATTGATGAACTTTCAAATTTTTAATTAAAAAACCCAACAAGCAAGCATTTTAACGCAGCACAGAGGGCACTTCTTGTCTTGAGAATATCCCTAAATATCTACTTAAAAAAGTTTTGATTGAAATATGTTTTGAGAAGCATTAAAAATGCTTTATTACGTTACTTATATTTTAGAGTGTTAGAAAACGCGTTTTCCACATTGATAAACTTAATTTCATGGAGAAAATGAAAGTTTAATGTTCATAGTGACATAACTGAAAGTATTAAACTGACTCAAATAAGAACGACACTTAGCTATGCCTTATATTCGCTGCTCTTATAATAACAGATATTTTTAAAGTTTTGCAGCATTAGAGAGTTTTATAAAACTCTTTCTCTTCGTTATGTCCTATATTTATTTAGTTGGCTTTAAGTAAAGATTTTGACACTTTGTGGTTAGTATTAGCTGTACTTAGGTGTAAAACGATGAGTGTGTTTGAATGAACAAGTATCCTTTATCCATAAAAAAAAGATTTCTTGAAGCGATTTTTTGAAAAGTACCGCAACTGGCTAAAAAGACTATTCAGAGTTGACTTGCCTATTGCAAACTCTTTAAATAAAGGGAAGAACAAAAAGGAGGTAGGTCAGAAAACATTTTAGGATTGTTGCGTTTTAAATTTTTGATAGAAAACTAGAGGTATAAATTATTATTAACTGACAAACATAACATCGTCCTGTAATAATGGCGGCTATCCATGATATAAAGAGATGTAATTTTGAACTAAACATTGTGACAGTTCGATAACATTAATTGTTATTGTCAAATAATAATTGCTGGATTACTGAGAAATTTTATTTCAAATGCTACCTCCAAGAAAATTAATATTATCTGAAAAAGCAGAGTTAGTTATGAACCAGTGCGGTATTTGAAAGCACTTCAAAGTAATCGTTGTTGTGAAAGTTGGTAGCCTAAACTCTAGTTGTAGTATTATTTAATAAAACATTAGTCATATTTTTTGCCTATTATAAAAACGACCATCAGTTGATTAAACTTCGAAACCAAAATTCCAAACAACTCGTAGATATATTTCCACACTAAATTGAATGAGACCAACCTCAGGTTGATTATTTCTAAAAGTAAGGGTTTTTCTCATTATTCCCACATTTCACACCAGCGACATCGGTTGTTGACTAAATTGAACCGATGTCAAAAATACTTACCACTATAAAGCTTTGGTGATGCGTTTTCACATTTTTGGGTATCTTGCCACACCACTTGTAGTAATGTATTATTAAGGTCTTGTTAAATGCATATAATTTTAATTGGATCTACTACAAAAATTGATGATTCAAAGGTTATATTTGCGTTGAGGATATATTTGTTTTGAAGGCAAAATTCGCTTTTAAAGTAAACGGATGGCAGTTTTTTATCCCCATTTATTACAGTTTCTTTTCTTCATGTGCTTCTCATTGATAATCTGATGGGGCTGCGTTTGTCCTCTTCCATAAGTCGTTATATTATTGAGTCTACAACGGCAGTCATATTCAAACACATTTCAACTATTTTTTCAAATCCCAATGTAGAATTTTGGGTGGCGAGGAGTTTGACGCTTATCAGCAACAAATTGCCAACTTTGCCAACAACTGTCGGAAAGTGGATCAAACTGCCACTCCCAAGACCCTCATAGGTTTGTACCTATGGAAAACTGTTAACACTACTAAATTATACAACAATACTGATTTGCAACTCTCTCGCAATAACAAACAAAGCATAATTCAGCTTTGTTTGTTTACACAATTGTGATAAACAACCAATAAACTGTGATATACATGATTTGAATATATGTAAGTAGTTCTAGCCTATGTATCAATATTTGTAATAATAATAATAATACTATGAATACATGTAGATCCTTAAAGCATTTATGGTTTAGGACTGCTTACAAACCATAACGGAAGATAAAAATGCCCTTTGTGTTTTTTACTTTCTAGATTAGTATTGACGTTTCCTATGGCATGTGCTAAAAAAGGAATCCTTTTTAATACAGAATTTGCTGTGTCGCTTTCAGAGGCATCTTCGTCAGAGTCATGAACCGCTGTTGGTGTTGGGATTTGGAAAAAAAGTTTCCCCAGTACGGCGACTTCAAAGTGGCCGAGAACATTCTACATCTGGTGAACAACCAGGGTATGGTCTGGATGGGCATGTTTTTCTCGCCCGGCTTGGTCGTACTCAATGTCGTCAAACTGTACATAATGATGTACCTCAGGGCGTGGGCTGTACTCACATGCAACGTCCCCCACGAAATCATTTTTCGAGCTTCGCGGTTCGGACAACTACCGACTAAAAAATTGACCTGTTCACTTTGTTTTTTTTTCGCAGGTCCAATAACTTCTATTATGCCTTGTTGCTTATGATGTTGTTCCTCTGCGTCTTACCGGTGGGCTACGCCATCGTCTGGATCGAGCCATCTTGGCACTGCGGTCCATTTTCGCACTACGAAAGAATATTCCACATCTTTACCAAGACCATAAGGGCTACAGTGCCACCGTCGATGCACAAGGCGTTAGACTACATAGCTTCCCCTGGGATTGTCATTCCACTGCTCCTACTCTTGGTGTTGATAATTTATTATTTGGTGTCACTAACTGGGGCCCTAAGAGAGGCAAATAATGATTTAAAGGTATAAAACACCTTTTCCTCAACGGGTTGATAAATAATGTATGCAACAGGTACAACTGAGACGTGAAAGGACCGAAGAAAGGCGAAAGATGTTCCAGCTGGTCGACAGGAGAAGAAGAGCCGGCTCTGGTGGGTCAAACGATGACGGCGCTACGCCATTTTCCAAGTGGAAGAAGCTATTGGGCAATCTTCCGAGCGGTAGAAGCTATGAGGATACGACCAAACAAGAGTCCGAAGAGATGGCGCCCAGTCAGAACAATGAAGAAAAAGTTGAAAACAAAAGCAGAGGTATTGGGTTTAAATAAAAGGTGATAAGCGAAGTGACATAATACAATATAATTACTAAATCTGGACGCTATGTTAATATCGAATCCATATGATGTTCGGTACAATATGCTGCAAAACCTACAATAACTTTTATGTGTATTGTTATGACTCGGATTATGTTTTGTTTACAAACTGCTTCGATTTCTATTGATTTGCATAATCATAATCATAGGTGGTTATTAGATTGGGCGATAAATATGGTGGTAGCAAATTACCCGATATAATTTTCTTCTTAGCCTGCCCTATCCACTATGGATGCAAGTTTTCCTTTATCAGTGGCATTTCTAAAGAGCTGTATTGAAGTTTGGTCCAACAACTTTATAAGGTTGTACAGGCCTCGTTCCTCCTGTAGGTTCTTCCGTATTCCGTATCCAAACTATTGTGGTTTTCGTTGTTTAATAGTGAATACAACTGCCTTACTCTTTATTCATTCTTCTTAAGACTTCTTCGTTAGAAAAATGATCGGTCCTTGATATACGAAGAATTCAGCGGTAGGTTCACATCTCGAATGATTCTAACCTCTTAAGTAGTACTTCACTTAGGGTCCAGGCTTCAATGCCGTAAAACATAACAGTGCAGCACTCGAGTTTTTAGGGATAGGCTTAGTTTTCTGCTGACAAACAAACTTCTTGAGTAATGCTGATCGGACTTTTTATATGGGGCTACAGATTTCCACCACTTGCTCTCAGTTATCATATATTAGAAAACGCAGGTAATTATACTTATCAACACTTTTCGGTTGAATATTTTTACTTCAGGCCAAAATCTCCACTAAGCTGATTTATGTTATCCATAGAGTTGAAGTTCTTCTTTACTACTTGTTAACACCACCCTAGTATCAGCAAATCTGATAATAATTATTTCACCTTATATTATGATCTCGTTGTCCACTCCCTGTAACGCTGAGTTAACGGTTTTACCAGACTAAATGTTAAATGATCTAATCCAGTTTTTTGAGGATATTTATTAATGAATCCTATTTACCTCTTGTACTGAAATTCTTTTTAAATCTTCATTACTAGGGCGGATAGTTTGTAAAAACGCCTTGGTCACATGATCATACTGATAAGTCAAACCCTTTGCCAGATGTTTTGTTGTATCTTAATGAAAAAACAGCGCTTTCGACTTTCAAAATGTTTGCCTTTTAGTTACATTAAACCGTTCTTGCTGAAAGATTCATTCTACATATGATTTCAGTACTTTTAATTCTTCTCTACTTTCTGTAATAAGAGACCGCTGGTTCAACATTTCACCACATGCTACGGAAATGGAAAATCATAGTCAACATTCCAATTAGGAAAGAATCAATTTAAAAATGTTTGAAAGTTTCATAATTCTTCCTGCGTCGGTTCTTGTTGACTCGAACTTGCTAACGTTTCGCCAATCATCCTGTTGGCTTCTTCAGAGCTTGGCAAACCGACGCACAAGTTTTATAAAAAGTATTACAGTAGCCTGTGGAAGTTTCTTTGAAAAAAATTTATTGGTTCTAAATGATTTAAACTTTTGTTTTTTGAAAATCGGGCATAACAAACTTCTCGGCAACCAGTTACAGCAGAGAGTTTGCGCACTTGATTATTGTAATGCACCTCTTCAAGAACAGAACATTTCTTCTAATTCTCACGAGCATTACAAATATTTGCCCGTGGTTTTCCAGAAATTCCATGAGAATAATTGATTAAATTGTATGACGTCATTTCGCAAACACCCTTTTTAAGCTTCATCCTGTAACTTGCGTGGATCTCTTTTCCAGTGTTCTTCAGTAAATTAATCAAGAAAGCGCTCGGAAAATCTTCTACGTCAGAAGAAGAACAAGATGGCACTGACACGGAACAACACGACTCTCTCCCGTACGATACGAATAAACCAGTATCACACAAACCTGTAGGTCGGTCCGTGTCCAATAGCAGTTTCGAATTGCAAGCATTAGTGAACCGGGCTTGGTCCTTAAAGAAAAACGAGCGCAATCCGGAGAAGAGTGTCATATCCGAGGAAACGCCCGATCGAGAGGATAGAGAGGTTCACCAGGAATGTTGTAGGCAAGACTCGGCGTCGTCCGTGATTCCAGTAATAACCATCAGTAAAACCGAAAGCACGGAGGCCATTTTGAATGAAGAAGTCACCGTAAAGACCAAGAGCAAAGGCACCGAACCCAAAATCAAATGCGTATTGAAAAAGCAAAGTACCGAAATAGACGAAGACATCATTTGCCACTTCGGTGAGGATTTGGAGAAGATGCGAAGGGACGACCTACTTTTCGAAACGGCCGTGAGAGAAAAGTTTGAAGATGACTTGAAGCGTGACGTCGGGGAACTGCGCAGGGAAGACATCCTTTCGGATAACGAAGAGAACGATGTCAAGGACGAAGTTAGCGTTATAACTGTTGTTAATGTGGCTCGTTAAATAGACCACCGTTAAAACTCCAAAAATAAAGATTTTGAGTGTTTGAATCTTAAATAGATGAAAGGCACTTTACATTAACTTTTACTGTTAAAACGTTAGATTTTTAAATAAAAAAACTCTCCAAGAGATGGCACTTACTCACACTTTGGTCCTCTGACAATTTGAAGTTTGAGTTTATAACAGCAGAGTGTTATCTTAGATACATCATCATCAGTAGCACTACAACCCTGGGTGGGTCTTGGCTGCGTTTACAATTCGCCTCCATTCCTGACGGTCTTCTGTTTGGTTGGTACGTGTATCCTATTGTTCTGAGATCTGATATTACATTATCTCGCCAGACCATATTCTAATGAAGGTTAGATTTTCAATTAAACTTTTGCATTAAAATCATGTATTATTTTAAATTTTGCGTCTTGACCTAAATGCTGACCTTATGCTGTTATTGTCAAAAATATATTGCCTCAATTTAACAAACACTATGTTGCTTTTGCTACAAATCCAGCAGTTTCATTTCAAAATACGTTATAGTATTATTATTTTTTCTTATCTTTGTCTTTACCCTTTTTGAATACGTATAACCGACAATCTATACCAGGTGTATTGTATTATTTTTAATTTAATATTCCACTATGTGGCAGCTGACTATAGAAAATTAAAAAATAATACTGCCGTCATAAGCCAAACCCCAGTAACTAACCAAAATGTTGGTTTGACTTTATTTGACCTTTCAACTTATAAGGAATGTTTCTAACATAAAAATAAGCTAAATTCCGGTAAATAGGACCCCGCATCCTTAAAACTGAGACTTATCCGATACTGTAGTTAAAATTTTTGTAGAATATGCTTAGGCAAATCCATGTAACTACCCAATACTAAATTAAAACCAGATAACTAGGCTGTTATTTTACATATTAAGCTGAATAAGCATTTTTTCAAGTATCACTTTCTTTTTACACTGTAGTTGTTATTTTGGTACTGTCTGAAGTGAAAGAATTAATAATAATTAAATGAATTTACGATTGTTTAGTAAATAATTAACAGGTAAGTGAATAATTATAATAACTAACTAATAACTAAAAAGCTCTCATAAAATGCGTGGGAGAAAGATGCTGCAACTCTGCACTTAAAAGCCTAAATTAGAAGACGGAGAAAACAATACATCTTCAAGCCAAACTCTTTTAAAATCACCTGAGACCCAAAAAGAAATTGATTCAAATTTTTTGATGCGATCATTAACTTATAGCTTTGAATTTACTGTGTCTCGAAGTAACTATTAAGAATATATGATACATCAAATATTGCACATGGAAAATGCAGTTGACACTTAAACAAATTATTTACAGATAAATCAGCCAGAAACTGAATTTCCTCCCGTGGTAGTTGCGGTGGATGAACCTGCGCAAATTAACAACGGTGGTAGGTGTAAAGAGTGTTAGAAATTGTTTAAAGAAATAATCGTTTTTATTCAATAAATATTTTATAAAACGATAAAATACCTGAAGTAGTTTAAAACCTAAGAGATTCAACGAAGGAAACAAAAGCTTCTTCTTCACATGATGGAGATTCAGACTATGTACCTATGTACAAGTCTTAGACAGGTCTTTCTATAGATATTTCAGAAAATAGTCCTGAATATATTGAGTTCGATTATTTCGAACCTGGCCACACACTGCCGATCATTACCACCATCAACTAGAACTCTAAATGAAGCATTCATCAAAAATGCTAATAATAGGAAGTCTGAAGTAGCGCAACTGAATTGCAATAACTTTTTTCAATGGCCAGATTGTTTTTTACTATATAAAATAAACAAGCTAAAACCTCGTCCGTTGCTGCACGACATGGTTCAAATACAGGCGGAAAAAGGCAGTCTATTCCTAAACGTATAGACATAGAAAACATGTCACCGCTACAAAAAATTACATTAGGTTGCAGGTGAAGCATATATTTACTAATTTAAAGTGTACCAGCTGCTGTGGAAGATTCCTTCTTTATTTCCAGTAGCAGTGAGACATCTTAGAGATGATAGCCGCATAACGGAAAAAATGCATGCTGAAGTGTTCTTCTAAGTTTAATCAAGAAGAGCGACAGCCAATATTTTCCGCCTGCTAGCCATTGCTACAAAAGCAAACAGATTTTATTAAAAATAATTATTCATAAAAAATTATTAACAAGGCTCAATAAAATGCGTATTATTTAACTAAACAAGGGCAACGTAATTTTTGGAACACGTGTTGGGCATAAATGATCAAACGGTTCGCACCTTACAAGCAAAAGGGCATACGGTTCCATAGATGTTGGTTGAAGCCATATAACTATTAAATAATATAGTGACCCTACTATGGTAGAAATTTTCCCCGCACATCCACTAACTAGCACACACTAACTTGTACTTAGTGCCATTTTCTTTCTTGACAGCGATTTTCACAAACTTAACTCCCAGAACCTAGAACGAAATCTAGGCATATTTTGAGAAAATACTGCCGCAACCAAACTTATTGACGATCTGTCAGCGGCCATGTTGGTTATTAAATGTCTCAATGGACTATCTCTTTTTTTTTCATAGTTGCCTAATAAGTTCCTGTTTTATCGGCACGGGCAGGGCTACTATATCTCCAGTAACTACATGGTTGAACCCGACCAACGAGAAAAATATGGCAAACTCAAGACTCTCGACCTGGCCATATGCAAGGAATTCGGCAACATATCAATTTAATTTTTACAGATGGTAGTCGCTCATTGACAGACATTTATAGAGATTATGTAGCTAACTGTAAAGAAAATAATAGGTCATTTCGACGAAGAAAGATCTATATGAAACCTGAGTGGCCTAGAAAAATGCTGCTAAAGAAGTGTAAGATCGTCATTTTCCATTTACAGACACCTATTTGTGAATGCTAAGTTTAGGAGTCACATAGCCATCGAAGTAAGAACGAATTACGCACATGTATTCTAAAATAGTTGCAGAAAAAATCTCATCTGACATCAAAGTTATGTTTTACTATCAGTCATACATTTTTAATCAAGAGTCACACGAACGGCAAGTAAACTGTCATTTAAGAGGTGCAAACGCATGATGATTTCATTGGCCCTATTAGTCCGCAAAAAACTCAATGAAACCTTTGTCCGTAAATCAACATTCCTTTGAGGATTTTTACATTTTGAAACATTTGCGTCAGACATTCATCCTATTACTATGATAAATTTAAGTCTCATTGATTTAAAAATTATTAAAGAGCTTCAGACTCAGTGTTTTTTTAAATCTTACAATGATGTTGACTTCAAAGAAGTGACACTAATAAATAGATAAAGATAAGATAAAGATCAAGGATAAGATAAAGATAAAGATCTAAAGGTCTATTGGAAAGAAAAAAAAGGGTCTTATGGATTTGGTTAACAAAAACACATGAAAAAGTACTATACCATCTTCTATAACAAATTGTAATTCGCCGTTTTTGTGGATTTAAGGAGTGCATTTATAATACATAATTTGTTAAAGGAATAAACGAAGGTACGTTTAAAAAAAATGTCTTGTTTTCACTTGTGCTATTCTAACCCAATTAGTGTGAACAAATATTTTGTAATTGCTATAACATCTTTTTCGTTATTTACAATTCGAATAACTCTCAACATTTAAATTCTTGAATTGTGACGTATTTAATAAGCGATGTCCGTTCGCCATCGGTTGAGAACGGCAAAAACAATTTGTACTAGCTTAATGTTACATTCGTTGCACATACATGTATACGAGAGCTGGGCCGTGTTTATCAGTTCGGTTTCCCATCCTTCCTGATAAGAGCCCCGATACTGGGTTCCCCAGACATTGACCTCGACATTGTCTCGCATAGTTTGGCTTATCTACAATTGGTGTCACTGTACGAGATCTATAGCGCATTTGGGGGGACGCAGGAGGATATAACGTTAAACTGCAATTCATGCTAATCGAGAAATTAAGATTGTATTTTTCAAAGAAACTTCCACGGGCTACTGTAATAATATTTACAACACTTCAAGATTCCTACTGCGCCGGTTGTTGACACCGCAACTCAGATCGTTACCTGTCACCAATGTGAGAATCGGAGACCCTGTACATGCCCGTCCTTTAGCTCCGTCCCCTTTAAACAATATATAAACAGGTAATGAATAAAATGCGAGCCAGTTTCAGTGAAGTTCTGAAGAAGCCAACAGGATGATGATTGGCGAAACGTCAGCAAGTTCGACTCAACAACAACAGATGCAGAAGGAATCCAGAAGATGTGTAAATAGTTGTGTGAAGTTCTAATAGGGTGTGAAAAAAGAATGTTTTAATGAATAAATAACTTTTTTCTTGTTTGGCGACTCACTTTAACTGTACCATACCTTTTACTAAAGTTTTTTTTTGTATTTTTTGACGGAATTGGACGTAAACCCCTTAATTCCAACGGGCTTTAGCTGCCCATGACCTTAAAAAATGTCCTTAAACATTTTTTTGTTTACAGTTCTTTGTAAATTTCTAAAACTCATAATTGAAGTCCATTAAGAAAGCTTGCTGTAAAAGATGACCTCTTGCCTGTTTAAATTTTCTACGCACTTTGCTTGTTTTAGTTAATAGCTAAAGAAAACATTTTATTTTGAAAACCAATATTTTATCAGTTATAAACCGAAAAAAGCATTTCTTATATGTATATTTGTGAATTATTAAAAAACACTTAAAATTACTTTTCCAAAAATATATTTTGAACAAGTAGGCTTTGTACGGTGCGACCGTAATACATACAGAAAACCAATCCGTCCGATTAGTTGCAAAATTGTGATTTTGGATGTAAATACTTATAAATTAATGTAAATTCGAAATAAATCCTATAGAACTTATATCGGCGCAAGGATTTATAGCAAGGCACTCCACTAAAAGTAGTCCAGCATGCCATTAAAGAAAGTGAAATATGGGTTTTTCACTTTTCGATCGAATCGAAGCTTATCACGATTGGTTTGCCAAAAGTTACGCATGTCAATATCAGGGCTTTTTGTTATTTAATAACTTCAATAAGTGTACTTAATAATATGTACCGCGTACACATTTTTCAAGGAAAACTCCCCTTTCTGTAGGAAATACATGGAAACTAATGACAGTGTTTTTAGCTCTATTTTGGCAAAAGAAAACATAATGGTAAAAACGTATCAGGGTATTTAAGAAATCGCTGTACCTTTTTTTGTGATGGAAAAGTTATGAAAACTCAAGGTAACATTTTACGAAGAATTTAATGACTTTAGTATAATATTTCTAAAAGTTGGAGTTTATTAGTGGTCCAACCGAAAAAATAATTTCTATACGAAACACCCTGTATATTTTAGGACGTAAAATTACCTTTTCAAAAATATAGCACACTTGATAATAAAATAAAAGATCTTCCGGCTACCACTTTCAACCAATAAGCTTTGCACAGAGGAACAGAGCCGCCGTTATACCGAAAACAAATGCACATTGGTAGTTGTCAAATTGTGAATTTGTTTTTTTGGTAGTTTTGATTCTAGTCTTTCAAATAAATAGAATGAGAGAAGAATGCAGAGGCAGCAAGCTATTAGTACTATGATCAATATCGGAAGAGAAAAAAAAACTTCTTGAAGATATTTTCGGAAGATTTTAACATAACTTAATTAATAATAGAGAAGAAGCGGCAAGAACTAATGTTAGATTAATAACTCTATATGCTACACAGTACCAAAAATGCATGGTGCAAATGGTTTCTTAAAAAATGCAACCCATTACGCTTTATTTTTTATTTTTATTTGACAGGTTAAACTAAAATCTATATAAGTTCTATAGGATTTATTTCGCAATTAATTTAATTTTTGATGGAAATATAACATATCGCAAAAATTAATGTAATTGCGAAATAAATCCTAATTCAATATTTTGTAACAAAGTTGACAAAACACATTTGACATAATCGTGCATCCCAAGCATGCTAAGATAATTATTAAATATAAACAAGATAAATCGACATTATTCCATTGCATAGAAGAAATACTATATCAACTCTAATGTCCATTTCTCGAGTAGAAAAACGGCCCTTAAATTTTTTGCTCAGCATTTCCGGACAACCTTTATATAATTTAAATCCTAAGTTAGGCATCGCGATCTATCTATCTCGACCTACCGAGTGCTTTTGGCACCACACGTTGAATGTACCAGTGGTGTAGTAAAACACAATTATATGAAGCCCTAAAGAAGTCAATACAATTTAAGATGAAGAAACCCCTATATTTTGGCTAATAATATTTTATGCAACAAGTGTCATAAATTCCATTTGAGTCACTAGTGGCTCAGATCTGTAGGAAACGAAACTAAACTGGTAAAATGACACTTTCCAGTGTGTAATTAGGTATTTTACAGAAGGGAGTAGAAAAATACATATCCTGTCCCACATTGAGAGGCAGTTATTTTTTTTGTATCCCATAATTCCCCACGTCAATATTTTGGCTCTCCAAATACATATCTCATGCATCCCATAATTCCCCACCGAAAAAGTTAACTACCAGCATTTCATCATTCATTAAAGAAAAAAGGACCTATTATTTGGTCTTTCAAAATCCCACAAAAGACATTGAGTTTCTGGGGAGAGGTCTGGGGATTATGTCGGCTCCAGTATCAACAATTTTCAGATGATACAACTCCATGTTTCGGTAAACATAATTTTCTTTACAAAATGTTATTTAATTACTTTTATTCTCTCATCTTACTAATATTCAGCTGAGGTGATAAATCCCGAATGCTCACGAGTAGATTTCTATATTTCCACGTGCGTTGCAGATATCTCCTGTTAAACTCTGCAGCAACCTATCTGCTACTACGAGCAAAATCACCAAACAATCGGATTATTTCGATTTTTTCATTTAAAGTACACAGAATTTTAATTCGGTGATCACTAAATAGGACGTAAAGTTTAACCTGACTGCCATTAATGATTACACCAGTGTCTTACCATTACCATTACTTTTTAGTTTATCGAATAAAAAAAATAATTTAATTTTGTGTAGGTATTGACCAAAATAACGAAAAAAGTTGATGAGAATTTTGTCATAAAAATGTTGAGCAGAATCTTTTTCTGAATAACTTTTTCAAATAACTTCACGTTTATAATTTAAATTTCAATTGAGTATCTTAAAAAATGTGAACCCGAATTGATGATTCATAAGCTTGTTATTTGTTAATTTTCATTTGATGGCTCACTAGTAAGTAAAGTAAAATAACATTAACTAGTAAGTTTAATTCATAATTTTGTATTGATACTATAATAATATTTTCATATGCAAAGCGATTGTTTCCACCAACATAGTAGTTAGTAAGTTTTCTGGACTATCTACTTCTGTGGCATAAATAGAACATCTATAATCAACCAGGTTTAAGTCTGGCCGCCTGGCCACTTGTTTGCAAAATTTTACGCCCTGACAAAAATGAGCAGATGCTCTATCTGCTTGAAAAAACATCTCCAACTTCAATTGGGCCTGATCGTTTGTAAAGGAATTTAAGTAAGGATTAGCTTTTAAAGGATCTATTAACATATTACATATGATACCGGAACAAACGTTGACAGAAAACCTACGTCCCTTGCGCGCGACGCCACTGAGGCCGAGCTCCCGATAAAATCCGCCGTATCTTTATCTCGTGCGTTCATTCTCGCCGGCATCTGGACTTCACGCGAGGTTTCAGCAACATCTGACTTTCAGCCGTTCGTCTCCGCGACTTGAGTCTAGTTTTAGTGGTTTCAGTTTATATCCGAACGTTGAGACGGCACTGCCATCCGGCACTTAGTCGAACTTGCTCGGAGTCGACAATCAATTCGTGAATGAACCGATCAGATGAATTTTTGATATGCATTAGCCGTTTGTAACTTTAATATGCTAGTCGTGTACGGTTAGGTTGCCCGCTTTCGCATCATGTACGTTTCGCTGTGTTTGTGTGTATTTTTGATCGCGTCGTTACGCGGCCGTTGGGCCCAAGCTGACGACTACGACCATACGCCTGCGATCGGAAGCAACAAGGAAAGCAAATGCTACGATGAGTTTAATAGACCACTGGTGAGAGTTCGATGAAGTATATGTTTACGCACGTTTAATAAGTGTTAAGTGTTAAGTGTTAATAAGTTTAATAACCCTTTATGATTATGTAGCTTATTAAGTTTAAGAACACAAAAATAAACTAGAAATTATTACACATCAAAAAGTAAATCGTACTTCTTAACCTACTAAAGATTATAACCTAACAAGTATTACAGTGATAATAAATAACAAACTTACTCTTCTAAATTCTTCATCCGACATAATTTAGATTATTAGTTCATTACAGTTTTCCCTACTCTTAACTATCTAAATATTGTAGAGAGCCTTGCCAGAGGTGTTGAAAATACCTTTTGAAAAGTATTTAAGTACCCATCCAAATACTTTTCCTAAAAAGTAATTGAATATATTTCAAATACAATTTTTGAACCTGTATTTAACCTAACAATTGTTACAATGATAATAACAAAATTATTCTTCTTTATTGCAACAAATTCTCTTTCTAACAAAATTTAAACTAAGTAGTTCAGTACATTTTGCCTATTTTTATCTATCCAGTCTTCAACAAGTTTTTTTTTTAAAGAGGCGAGATTTTTGTATACTTAGTGTAACAAATAAAAGGTATGTAAATAGTTTTCCCGCAAAGAAGTTAAATGTATTTCAAATACACTTTTTATACAAACTAAAATTGCATTAAAAGAATTTTAATACATATTTATAAAATCAACGTGTAATTAACAGGTGAATCGATAAATTCCTTTTGGATTTGGTCTGTCAACAATTGTTGTGCCAAATAATTTTCCTTTGTTAATCCAATTTAATTTGGATAGCGGCAATGTACAGGTCTAAAATTTCAAATTTCATCAAAGCGAGTTTCCATATTGTTTATTATATTATTTCCTATTTCTCAATAAAATTTTAAATCTACCATTATGGATTCGCTATTTAAAATTTGCAAAATGGTTGGCAACACATATCCTTTAACGCAGTCCATTACCAACGACCACTAATTTAATCCTAATTGTCAACAATGTCTTAATATTAATACTCTTTCTTAATGACACAGACAGTAAAAACTCAAGTTTGTATTATTGTATAAATAATTAATTTTACCGAAAAGTACTGCACACTTCTTGTGTGACCTGCCTGCCCTAGCCTAGTTTTACTTTTAATTACAAATATTTCAAATTTTAGGGACTGTATTCGAATTATATTTAAAATTCAAAAAACTGTAGTTAAATTCGTATTTATATCCCATTTATTTTGGAATACTTAATTAATCTTAAAATACATGTATTTAAATACCTAACAACACTGAGCATTATAAAACGGTTTTTGTTCGCAACCTAGCTACCTCAAGCTAAATTCAATTCAAAATTCTAATATTCGTCCTTGTTCTATTTTCTATTCTCTGTTTCAGGTTAATTTTTCCTTGATAAATATTTTTTTGACATTTCTAAATGAAGCTACCGAATATCCAATATTTGTATTTCTTGGAAAAGTAAGTCTCGAGGTAGTTTCTTCTTTTCCATATATTATTTTGCTTAATACTCCGGGCCTTTAAATGTAAGTAAGCTACACACTCCATCCTAAAATCTTATAAGACCACCGCATTTTATGGATTGATTGATTCTATTTCCGGAATTTATAATTTTTTATTTTTTTCAGCTGTTTCCAATGATCTACCATGTAGAAGATTGTGCAATTTCATAAGTCAAATTTATTCTTTTTTCAATAATTTTGGCTAAAAAGTAAAGAACCTAATACAGTGCGCTGGGGATTTTCAAAAACTATTTCTTTTGTTTCAGTGAAGGCATTTCCCTTCTGAGCATATTTTTTCAATTTTGATATTAGAATTTGGTGTGAAATCAAAAATGCAAAGAGTACGTTGACTGCAGTCAAAAGCATATGCTATTTTTGAGTTAAATTTAACCAAGCATTCTGGAGTTGATTTTAACCTCAGAAAACAGTCTATACTTCTCTACATTGTTTTTCTCGCCTGACTTAATCGGAGGTTGTTGGGGAAAGCAGCTTTCCTAAAAGCAAACACATTAAAAATGTAAAGGGTTGAGATATTTCAAATTTTATTTATCCATGGTGGTCTTCTGAGAGACATTGTTAAAATTCATGATCTCGTGTACATTACTAAAAAAAATTATAAAAGTGTCAAATATTAAAAAACATGCGGTCAATTGTATTTTAAGTCGGGGTTTAACGAGCCGCCCATGTCAATTGCAATAGGCACTATCTTGAAGGCTCATACCGACCGGTACCACATTCCGAGCCCTATATATACGCTGTCTTTCTTAGTTTTTTTATTTATTCAGTCATTCCCTGTAAGGCATAATACAACTAGTAAAATATCTTCTGTGAATCCTATCGTTTGGTTTTTATGTGAGTTCGAAAGGAATTTGGATAGCAGACGTGGGAATAAATCCATTCGCAATACGTGTCGTAACATGATTGATCCGTGCGCTCCTGGGACTCGACTCGCCATCCATATCGTCCCATGTGGTTCGAAAGTACAAGATATTCTCACATACGGGGTGATGCAGTGGCATAGCGGAGTGCGATATCTACATGATTTATCAACAACGGGTATTTAAAAATATTCCAATATCTCATATGAGAGTATGGAAAAATATTGTGCACTGGAGCACTATGCAATATGTCCCAGATTCGCTTCTCTATACAGGGATCTCCGTGCATCAAAGTGCATTTGATAACCGGCTTCAGATTTACGATCGGTCAATTGGTTTGGGAAATATCGGTGAAAAATACAAAGCAGGAAAATTTCCCGAAAACATCTGACTTGTTGAGAAGTCGTTTTTTACGTTCATGTTCTATTAAAAATTGATTAAAACCAAACTTTTAACCTTTACTCGTCTCAAAAAAGTGTCTGAGTAATGTCAAATTTTGACAGGTGCCAATTTGGTCGTTTTGTATTTACTGGCGAAAAACAAAATTTGCCATTTTCGGTTTTTCGCCGATATTTCCCAAACCAATTCACCGATCGTAAATCTGAAGCCGGTTATAAAATGCACTAAGTTTCCTAAAAAATATTCTCCATTTAAACTTTGCTGTATACAGGGTGTCTCGTCGGTAACTTCGTCGATCTGTTACGACAAAACTATAAGTAGCAAAAAAATGGGCAATGCAATTAAAATATTTTCAAGATGGCGTCACATCCAACTTTGTCAACTTTCTTATTTTAAATGAAACACCCTACACAGCCTGTTACAAACCAAATGTAAAAAAACTTTAGGAGGTAATTCCTTGTTTAAAATACTAGGTGGTTTGTTATATAAATATTGTGAGATATCTCGCTACAAATATGGAGCAAAAACAATGTTTATTATTTTAGTAAAAACGAAAATAGAATACGAAAGCATTATTATTATAAAAACACACTTTCTGTATATTTTTATTTTTTTTGGTTAGTGGAGAAGATTCAGTTAATTTAGTGAGAGTCTAATGTCTAATGTCTAATAAAATTTACGAATCCAAATAAAATGTAAAGCATTACCTGCTACTATCAGTTGAAAATTTGTAAGAATGAAACACATTTTTTAAAATATGGTTGAAAAATATGCAGATACACAAAAACCGACAAGAAACAGTGTTACAGGAGATATTTTTTCCCATTTGCTACTAATACTGTATATTCATAATTAATCTGTATTAACAACGAAAACGATTTCTATATATATATATATATATATATATATATATATATATATATATATATATATATATATATATATATATATATATATATATATATATATATATATATATATATATATATATATATATATATATATATATATATATATATATATATATATATATATATATATATATATATATATATATATATATATATATATAGAAATCGAATTGTCGCGTTGTTAATTTCGCCCGATCGTAGTTGCGATGTCCCCGTTGGCTGCTGCGCATCGCTCTGCTGTTTAATTATCGTTCTCCATGTGTTGGATAAATGCAGAGCGTCGTCTCTCGTATTGAGGTGTCCGGACTTTTCTATTTCGATGGCCTCTCGTATAATCCTAGTCCTAAAATCAGGAATATTAGCTATTTGTTTGCAAACAAGCAGCACCGTTACCATCTCCGGCGCAGAGTATAAATACCGCACGCACCGCCGATAACCTCCCAGTGTTCGAAGTGTTTTCGGAGCGCGAGCATTGAAGATGCCAAGTGAGATTTTGGCGAAACGTCTGCAGGATTCCAGTCGGATGCAGGATTCCAGTCGGAGTTCAACGAGCGAACGGATGATATCCCGGAATATAGTGTCATCACATTTTTCCATCCGTGAATCAATACGTGAGAATATATATATATATATATATATATATATATATATATATATATATATATATATATATATATATATATATATATATATATATATATATATATATATATATATATATATATACAGGGTTTTTCACTTAAAACTCCGCACGCCAATAACTCCAAAACAAAAAGAAATATTTAATTTATGTAAAAAGTAGTCAAAGTGTGGGGTCCAGTAGATATTTCCTAAAGTTTAAAAAATTCGACGCCTGCAAAGAGCTGGGCGTCGCGACGCGTCGAAAAATTATTCGATTGCAGAGACTTTGGAAATACGCGCATACAAAAGTACATATTATTTAAAAACTTTTTTGTTATTTACTCAAACTTATTTACTTTACCCGTTTCTAAGTTATACCGATTTAAAGTAAACATTTCTTGATTAATAAAAAATGTGATTAACGCTTATTTTTACAAGTATGCCATGAATGTTAGTTACTATGGCAACCATTGTTATTGCAGTTGTTTTAAGTGCAATTACAAACAATAGATTTCAACTATTTTAGTATGATTTTATTTATTATTTTTTATCGATTTAGTTCTGATAACATGATAAATAATTGAAAAAACAGTAAAATACCTACAAGTTAATAACCAAAATTATTATTGCAATTAACTACATAATAAGACATTTCAAAAATTTTGTTCAAAATTATGTCCATCTGCTCGAACACAACTATCAAAAACTTTTAACAGATGAGCTTGGGTCACTTGTAGGAGAGTCCTTCTTGTGATAGCGGCACACGCTGCACTAATTTTGTTGTTTGTGCGTAAACTCTTTTTGCTTCTCTACAATTGCATCTGCATTCTCCAAACACCAGTAACATGTCTACTTTTTCATCATTGCTAAATTGCACCATTTTCACATAATAATTCTTAGTTTTTTTTTAAACCGAACAAATTTGGATACTTCTTGTGACAAAATGTGACAATTTTTTGATGCAGCAATAACAACGTTACAACAATTAACAATTACGTTTGTAATTGCACTTAAAACAACTGCGATAACAATGGTTGCCATAGTAACTAACATTCATGGCATACTTGTAAAAATAAGCGTTAATCACATTTTTTATTAATCAAGAAATGTTTACTTTAAATCGGTATAACTTAGAAACGGGTAAAGTAAATAAGTTTGAGTAAATAACAAAAAAGTTTTTAAATAATATGTACTTTTGTATGCGCGTATTTCCAAAGTCTCTGCAATCGAATAATTTTTCGACGCGTCGCGACGCCCAGCTCTTTACAGGCGTCGAATTTTTTATACTTTAGGAAATATATACTTGACCCCACACTTTGACTACTTTTTACATAAATTAAATATTTCTTTTCGTTTTGGACTTATTGGCGTGCGGAGTTTAAAGTGAAAAACCCTGTATATATATATATATATATATATATATATATATATATATATATATATATATATATATATATATATATATATATATATATATATATACTGTTCAAGATGGCGACCCATTTAACAGCTGTCAAGTGATTTATTCTTAGTTTGGTTTGGCAATTCATGAATAGACTCACGCCTGAACAACGCTTGCAAATACTGCAATTTTATTTCGAAAATAATGGTTCTGTGCGGAATACGTATCGCGCACTACGCCCATTTTATCGTCGACAAAATCTTGGTTTACGTGCTTACAAAATCCAACTCGTGCAAGAATTGAAGCCAAACGATCATCAAGTTCGGCGTAGATTCGTCGAATTGGCCCAAAACGAGATTGCCGTTTTTCATAAGCGAATTTTGTTTAGCGATGAAGCGCACTTCTGGTTCAATGGCTACGTCAACAAACAAAACTGCCGCATTTGGAGCAAAGCTAATCATGAAGTGTATGTCGAAACACCGTTACATCCAGAAAAACTGACTGTTTGGTGCGCTTTATGGGCTGGTGGAATCATTGGTCCGTACTTCTTCAAAAACGATGATGGCCAGAACGTTACAGCCAATGGTGATCGGTATATAGCTATGATTACTAGCTCTTTCATTCCTGAATTGAATAACCATGACGTCCAGGAGATGTGGTTTCAACAAGACGGCGCTACATGTCACACAGCTCGTGTCACAATCGATTTATTAAAAAACATGTTTGGTGACCGATGAATTGGCCTCCAAGATCTTGTGATTTAACACTGCTAGACTACTTTGTGTGGGGCTATGTAAAGTCATTGGTCTATGCGGATAAGCCACACACGATTGACCATTTGGAAGACAACATTCGCCGCGTTATTGCCGATGTACGGCCACAAAAAGTCATCGAAAATTTGACGTCCAGATTGGACTACATCCGCGCCAGCCGTGGCGGTCATATGCCAGAAATCATATTTAAAATGTAATGCAACAAGATTATCTTTCGGATAAATAAAATTCATGTCAATCGAATAATCCATCGTTGTTTTATTGCAACTTAAAGTTCTATACATCGAAAAAAAACACCCCTTACATCTTTTTGGGTACCACATAAGAAATAGTTCATGGGAGTCAGGTCTGCATTCCGGAATTGTCACCTTAGAATGCACAGCTAATGTGGTTTTATTACTCTACTCCTTTTTGAAAATCGATTTTAATATTTCGTAAAACGAAAACTTGAAAGCCGCTTCCTTTTCCAGAGATGCATTCCAGAGTTCGAAAATGCCGCTTTCAACGTGGAAATGACTGGCACCAACACGTGCGGCGAGAACGGCGAACAGGAGTACTGCGTCCAAACGGGAATAACTGGAATAAGGAAATCCTGCGAAATTTGCTATCCGGGACAGCACCATGCACGTTACCTGACCGACTTCCACAACGTGGATAACCCCACCTGGTGGCAATCGGAGACTATGCTTGAAGGCATTCAGTATCCCAACCAAGTGAATTTAACCCTCAACTTTGGTAAGGGGTTTTGCGAATTGGCTTAGCTGAAACATTGTTCCACAGAGTGCATTCAAATCGTTTTTATACAGAATGTTATATTTCACCACAGTATTTTTAATGCGATAGAATTTGACTCTCTGTACCACAGAAAATCATGAGCCTTTGAATGTCAGAGAATATGAGATATATGTAGCTCACAGCTAAGAGAACCAGTTCAAATCTTTCGTGTCAAAAAAACTTCAGGTGCCAATTCTCGTTCAGAAATCGGCGTTATTTTGCAGAAAAAAATAAAAAAAACACCTGTATCTCGAAAATACAAAATTTAAGACCCGAAAGCTTTTCAAATCATTTAGAATTTTGCCAGTGGATTATCAACCATCAACATATTTTGACCACCATTTTATCCTCTGCCTTCGTAACCGATTCACAAGGTAGAGTTTTTCACACACGCGATGCGCATTTCTGCAGAAACGGGAATTCGAGGGCTGTCTGTCGAAGCAACAATTGTCCAAATTGGTTTTCAATCAATGTTTGGTCAGGTATCGTTAATAGGTCCTATTATTTTGATACATCGATGAAAAAGCTTCTGCTTACCTAAATTTCCTTACAAATGCTCTGACCGGATAATATTCCGACACGTGCTCGCTTGGACATGTTTTTCTTATGAGCGGGGTGTAAGAAACTGGTTAGATGCAAATTTTGCAAACAAGATGGGTGAGTAAATTGGCCAGATCTAAAGTAAATAGTTCGGAAGAGTTACTCAGGTGAATTAATGTTGCTGGAAATCAAACTAGGAACAATTGCCTTGAGATTCGCGAAAAAATTTGTAGTAGTGATTTTTCATTCTTAACGATTTAATACGAAATTATGAATTAAGCTTACTGACTAGTGTTATTTTATTTTTCTTAAAAATAGCCTGCCAATGAACAATCAAATGAAAATTAATAAATAACAAACCTATCAATCCAGTTTTAAGGCTTTTTAATTTTTATAAATAAATACAATTTTCCTTGATTTAATAAAAAAAAGTCTAATAGTCAACCCACAGCAAAGTTACTTTTACTCCTCAAAAGTTACGCCCTTGACCAAAATTTCACATTTATAATTTTAGAATTAGATTCAGCATGCCAAAATTACTGACAACTCCAAAGTTTCAAAAGTATCTCTCAATCTGTTTCGGAAATATTAATAAAAAAATATTTGCAGGTCCATTCCTTGTAGGACATGTGACTTCGTTAGGGGCGTACCCGGATATATGTTTATATAGAAAATTAGGGCTTATTTTGGACATAGAATAAACTGTTATAGTTTGACTCATTAATCTTGGAACACCCTGTATAAGTTTAGTTTAAATAAATATAGAGTTAATTTATGTGTATTAATCGCATTATTCCTTTTTGTTGGACAAAGATTCCGTTTTAGGATACTGTTCTTCCACAACTTGTGATATTCTAAGAGATTACCGAGTATACCGAGCAGATAAGATTTCAATGTTAATATAGTAAAATATGAGGTTATTAAGTTCCTTTCTAAATTTTGTAGTAGTCATGTAATAAAAAAGTATTAGTATTAGTATTAGTATAATTGTTGAGTCCCATGTTCAAGTGTTAAATTTGAAAGCTCGTCTTCGTCAGGTCAATTGTATTGCTTCAGGAAATCGACGAATGTTTCTGAAACAGACTTTATAAGCAACCGTTCCTTCTGCGGCAATTACCCAAATTACTGCCCGCGCCTATCTGTCAAGTTAAATTAAGAACCTGAGATTTATTCTTCCTACGGTTATGGCGGTATCTTTGACGGTTCGCCTTGTTTTGTTTCGTCATTGGGCGTATCTCGGTTCACGAAGAATTAGAGCCAATATATGAAATAAAGTTATGGTAAACTATTGTTGCTATTTTTTACCTCGTTTTTTACGCACATGAAGATTGTGTATATTTTCTACTACAAATGTAATTGGTGCTGGGATTTTAGGCAAGGCGTTTGACGTCACCTACGTCAGGCTTTGGTTCATGTCACCGAGACCTGAGAGCTTTTATCTGTCGAAAAAGACACACGAAGGAGGTCCTTGGATACCGTACCAATATTACAGGTAAATTTAAAGTTAATTTTTCACGGTACCACATAATTTAGCGACATAAGTTTGCTTGAAGTCTTATTATGTTTTATCCCATGCATCCATGCTGGGTGTGCCATTATTATACAAGGTGCGACCGATATTTCACACGGTGATTTCTGAGTATTTTTAAAGGAAAACTATAAAATATGAAAGTTTGGTACAAAATGCTTCGTGATAGAGAGACAGTATTACTTTTTTTTGCTTCTTCTGCACGATTTTCTAAATTGTCACTTGCCTTTTTTCGCTTCTAAGGATATAACTTTTACCATGATACCGTATTATTATTTGGTAAAAAAAATCCTCAGTCCTTTGGAAAATGAAATATGGTCCTCCTATTAGAAGTCACTAGAAGCAACCGTGGTCGGAACAGTGATGAAAAACCGGATCAAAATATCCTGCAAGCGAGCATCCAAACCAATAAGGCCATTGTCTAGAAAGCCACCGTTATCTTCACGATATTCACAAAAACTGATTAACAAATAAATGTTTAAGTCTAAAATGGAATCTCCAATAGTATCTCGTAAACGGCTCGAAGATATGGATATTAACTAAGTACGATATTTGTGCAGAAAGAATGCAAAAAAATATATATTCTGAGTTTTTCACCGTAGCCGTTCGTTAGAAGTTTTTGGAGTTAGGAATATCCTAAAAGTTTGAAATTCTGGAACTTAGGATAATTCAAGATTCACACCATGTTTTATTTTGTAGTTTCTGAAGAAAGTTGATGATGAGTTTCATTAGAATTCCTACATATTTTCATCTGTTTCTCAGATGTCTTTATTTTTTTAACTTTTTTTACAGATTTACCCCTATTTTTAACAGTGGGCCTTTTATGCATTTTTGATTGTTGATAAACGCTTCTGGTATAAACTAAAGCAGGAAAGAATAATACTTTGAAAAAAATTTTTAAAATAAAATAAGTATTTTTTTCAGCTTTATATAGTAAACCTTGATTTTGGCAGAAAATAAAACAATGTTGTTGATTTTTATGTCAACAAAATATCAGTTCAAGGTTCTATTCATTTTCTACAACAAAAGATGGGTTATTTCGGTCTTTTCCTGAAACCGTGCTGTGACTTGCTTAGATATTCTTCACATTTGGTAGAGATTCTATTACTGCTCATACGCATAAAGATCTTTACTGCTTGTGTTCATCAGGCAAATTGTTTTATAGTCCCCGCAGTTTCTGGCTTTGTTCTTTCTAGGTAAAGCTATGTAAGTGGATGTTAGACAGTTTTGTGGTATTATTCATATTCAAAAACTGGGTTAATATTGTGATAGCAGCACAATTGCGCTATGGTTATCTGCTATATGGCGTATTTTATATAACGATGTTTGCTTTCCTTTTTTATCGAATTATCTTCAAATTCAATATTTTTGGTGGTTAACCAGTCGACAATTTCTGATTTTCTTCAACATGAAACGAAGTCTTCTTTACGCGTTGTGAAGCATAATTACTACTGAAGCATTCGATATAAAAGTTAGCAAAATGACTATTCGCTTCCATTTTAGACAATAAAACGTCTTGTAAAATCACATTAATAACTGGTTATATTTTTGTCGTGTCACACTTGTAGTAGTACATAAACTTCATTAATCCAAGTCTCATAAAGGTTATAAATTTTCTTGTGCTCTCTTCGGTTTTTCTGGAAAATTATCTTAAATTAATCAATATTTATTAAGGCATTTTTGTTTACATTTAGCGCCACCTGTCGAGATACGTACGGATTGCCTGACTCTACGCACACAAATAGGGGAGAGGAGACGAGGGCACTGTGCACTTCCGAATATTCTGATATTTCACCACTCAGAGGTGGCAACGTCGCATTTGGTACCCTCGAGGGTAGACCGTCGGCATACAATTTCGATACAAGCACTGAATTGCAAGTTCGTAGCCCAAAACTGGTGGACTCGATCTAAATAGAAATGGCACCGGCAAAATGTGAGGCAAGTTTTACAATGGTAATGTAATGTGGATTCCTGTACGTGTCTTACTTAATTATATAAATGGTAGAACAATGCTGTTTTCGCCGCTTAATTATTTATCAGGATCAAACAAAATTTTGTATACAATAAAATTTATAATCAGCTAATTTGATTGATTAGACTTGAATTAGATTTACTTAAAAATAAATATATAAAATAGAAATTCCACAAATAAGTAATAATAAATAATTATAATTTTTTGAAATCTAAAGGTTAAGTTTACAAGCTCCCTTTGTAAATTTTCTTGCTTTTTGCACAATAAAGACACAATAATAATAAAGGAAAGGATATCCATTGATACCCTTCACTTTCTTAATAAAATTTGTCTCACGAATCGATTTTCGCTGCATTCCAGTTCAGATCGAGTTCTTCCTAAAACTAATGAGATGCTAAAATATATCCAGGATTAACCATTGTCCCAAACAGGAGTGGGTAACCAGTACCCAAATTATGATAACCTTGGATCGCATCAACACTTTCGGCGACGAAGTCTTCGGCGATCAACAGGTGTTGAGGTCGTATTTTTACGCAATCGCCGATGTAGCTGTGGGTGCACGTTGCAAGTGTAACGGCCACGCATCAGAATGTGTTGCGTCGACCAGCTCCGACGGTTCCCGGAGGAGAGTGTGCAAGTGCGAACACAATACTGCAGGTCCCGACTGCGGCGAGTGCTTGCCGTTCTTTAACGATGCCCCATGGGCGCGAGCTACAGCTCAGAACGCCCACGAATGCAAACGTAAGTAAGCCCTTGATAAATCCTGTTTGTTTAATGGTCATGGATAATGACAAAAGAACACCAAAATAACAGGTATCCACCCCCTATATAGTAAAGCGATCTGGTAAATGATGTTATTGCTCACAGTTTTTTATTGTAAAGTTAAGCCGTCGTCTGGGTATGCTGGGATTCATCAGTTTGATAATTAAGTCATTAATACCAGCGAGGATACATAACTAAGTGGTCTATAGGTCCAAGACGCATACTAGGCACAAACATACCGCAAGATCGTAAACACACGCAAACTACTAAAAATCGCATGGAATGACCAACAAGTAATCACTAAAGCTGAACAAAGAAGTATCAAAAGAAAAACCATGTGGACCATTTAATTATGAATTCTTAGTGGAGGTGTTAACGACATAACCGTCCTGATGAAGCCTGCAAACCCATGCGAAAACTTGGCTTTATAATAAAAAGCGAAAGTCGATAATTTTCTCTTCTGGGATAATTAACAAACTCATCAGAGTTTCCATTCTTAACAGTTTTACCTCCATTTAAATTTAATTGCAATAATAAATAAATTTATTCACTCAAAAGGAACGTTCAACACTAAGGACTATTTCAGTTGTTGTTATTGTTAATTCGATACTAATAGATAGGATTTGTTGTCATTTTTGGCCACTTGCTTGTCATATTATCTCTCATTATTCATTTATGACGAAGTTTCCCTAAATGGATGATATCAATTCTCCACTATTAGTGAATGATAAAGTTATGTAATATATGTTAATATAAGTTATTGTTAAATGTAACTACATGATGAGAAAGGCAGCAGGTCAAGTGGAACTTCCCAAGGAAAGCCCAGAAGATCAGATTAAAACACCAAAAGTATTATTGAAAGAAAAGTTCACTCTTCCTATTTTAAAAATAAATATTCACAGCAGGTAACATTTTACTGGAACTTGATCTCTGATAACTAGAAAATGTTTATGGTGAAAAAAATATAGATCTTATCTAGTAGTTATGGCTGACGCATCCACTGCGCAAAATCAACTTGGGGAATATAAGAAATTATCAACTGGTAAGATGATAAAGAAAGAGCTATTACTTATATTAATACAAGGTAGAAGATATAGGACAAAAAGTTAGAGTAAATATCCTACGCTCAGTGCTCAATATCAGTGACACCAAAGCACAGGCGAAAGACCCCAAAATATTGTTTGATAAAGCAATTGAGGAAGTGATAATAAAGCACTGACCAGAATCAGCTTACAATGTCATTAAAGAAGAGGAGAAAATGAGGGATCTTGACCACTTGATGGATCGGATCGTCCACCCGTTAATTATAAAGTCAAGAGGAGGTGACAGTTCCTCAGATGACGAAGAATATATTTTTTTTCATAATTAAATTTCTTTTAGTATGTAATTTTTATTCGCTCGTAGTACCACCTGAACTCGATAAAATGTAATCTGTAATCCCTTTGCATACATAACGAGCTTTTATTACTCTATTCTTCCTGAAGTAGACTATAAAAGTATCTCATTAAAGTCCTCAAAAAAGTAAGCCTTTGCCATGTGGACAATATATTAGAAGAATATTTTCAGTATTATATAGTTTAAACATATAAGAGACACAAATAGGCATTTTTACTTATGTCATATGCCTGACTATATATATATATATATATATATATATATATATATATATATATATATATATATATATATATATATATATATATATATATATATATATATATACGTGGTACAGGTGTGTTTATATTGTATAATGTTGCAAATAATTCTGTGTTTTATATGTTTGAGAAGTTTTTGTTAGAGCAAATGGGATCAATGGGGACTTCGCACACTTCATTTCTACGGAGTAGACGAATAGACTAAAAAGTGAATGCCTGAAATTTGTTTTTTGTACCTGATACAGAAAACATATAAAAATATAAAATTTGCTATAGAATAAAGTGTTTTTACCGCTTAAACACACAATGCTATACATTTTTTCAAACAAAAATTCGAAATTTTAAAATTTCGATTTAAAACCAAAATCTTATTACCACCTATTTTATTTGATTGCACCTTTCACAATCTTGACGTTAGAACAGAGAATATTTATAATCCAAAACGACAGACACACAGGGGTTGCAGAAAATCGCCAATGCGATATTAGATAATATTATAAGATAATGATTGTATTCAATGAATATTTTGTTTGCATATTGCATATTGAAACGAAAAAAAAAGATAAGGACATAATATTGCATTTCAAAAACTTAACCTACTTTACGCTTTACTAATTGACGTCAAATTTTTGCTAAATCTCTATCTTATTTCTTCCCGCAAAATATTGGGTTGTTCGGAAAGTCATTTCGTTTTTTTTGGGGAACATGAAAGACAGTTTTCGCATAATGAATAAATATTTTATTAAATTATATATTGGCCATTTTGGTCCAACACCTTTTGCCATCTTTCTGGCAGTAACATAATTCCCCTCTCATAAAAGTTTTGGTCCTTGCTGGCAAATAACTGGTTCAGGTGGTTTTTGACATGTTCATTTGAGGTAAAGGTTTTGCCATCCAAAAAATTTTGCAAGGACCGGAACAAATAGTAGTCGGAAGGCGCCAGATCTGGAGAATATGGTGGATGTTGCAGTACGTCCCATTCAAGCTGTAAAAGTTTTTGGCGAGTGACCAAACTTGTGTGAGGTCTCGCATTATCCTGGTGGAACACTACACCCTTCCTGTTGATTAATTCGGGCCTCTTCTCTTTAAGTGAATCATTCAATTTGTCCAGTTGATGACAATAGACTTCTGAATTAATTGTTGTATTGTCCGGCAAAAGCTCAAAAAAAACCGATTCCTTTGACATCCCACCAAACGGAGAGCATCACCTTTTTTTGGTGAATGTTGGCTTTTGACACGCTTTGAGCCGGTTCATCTTTTCTGCTCCATGACCTCTTGCGTTTAACATTGTTGTGTACAACCCATTTTTCGTCCCCAGTAATAATCCGCTTCAAAAATGGATCATTTTCTTGACGTTTGAGGAGCGAATCACACACGTCAACGCGACGACACAAATTTCGCTCCGTAAGGACATGGGGCACCCACACATCGAGCTTCGAGGTTAAGCCCATGCCTTTCAAATGGCCATAAACAGTCGAATTCGACAAATTTAATCTCTCACCGATCTCTCGTGTGGTTATTCGCCGATTTGCATCAACTAATGCCTTTATCGCATCTTTGTCAGCTTCGATCGGCCTTCCAGACCGTGATGCATCTTCGACATCAAAATTGCCGGATCGAAATTTTGCAAACCAGTTCTGGCACTGGCGTACTGTTAACACGCCTTCTCCATACACATCCGTCAATTTTTTTCTCGCTTGGACGGCATTTTTACCTTTTCTGAAGTAAAAAAGTAAAATATGACGGAAATGCTGCTTATTGCTCTCCATATTTAAAAGGGCACCAACCAAAAACTACTGCGTAGAATTAATAGAACTTTTTCACACATAAGCCTTGCAATATCAGCTCTCAAGACATATAGTGGTTATGCGGCTTAAGTGTGAAGTTGGTTTCGAAAAAACGTAATTAAGTCCTCTGACGGGAAAAAACGAAATGACTTTCCGAACAACCTTATATGTTCTACTGCTTCAAACTTCCTTGGTCATTTTCAGTGGGTCAGTTGTTTATAACACTCCAAAAGAAACATATCGCAAATTGCCAAAACAGGACACGCAGACGGCCATCAAATTTGAATTTGACACGAAGTACTGATGGGATATGATACTTGTTTAGAGTGCAATTTCTAAAGGTTGGTAATTATAATATAATTCATAATAATTATATTTGTGGAAACCAAATATGCAGAAACGTTTTAAGAAATCGTTACGTTTAGCTTTATTATAAGATGTACAATTTAAATTTTTGGAGTAGGTATTTAAAATGAAGTTTTGATATAATAATGGATTAGGCATCATTTTATTAACGATTAATAAAAAATCTAGTACCTTTTAAAATGATCTGTGAATGTAAAGGCAAATTGTTTATTTAGATTTCTTTTTAAAAATAATTTTAGTATAAATCACTGTATTTTTCCGTAATATTCTACAGATTAATTATAAATGTACAGTTTGAAAAGGGAATAAAATGGGAATTATGATCAGGAATCTTAAAAGTAAACACTTTTTTTGCGAGAATACAGAGTTTATGTGCTAAAATGAATCTTAGTAGTTATTGCAAAGAGGAAAGGCAGCTGATTGCAATATACCATGATATACAACAAACCTGTATCATGGTTACGACTGCGGCAGAAATCGAACGACGGTATTTCAGCATGTATTTATTACATTTCATTGTCCAAACCGCGCTAGTGGAGGATCAATTACAAAACATTCTCAAAGGGAAAGTAATTTTTCATAACTCAGAAATAGAAACATTTAAATTATATTTTTTATATATTTTACTCTAAAACTCAAAAATAGAGGTGTTAAGTAATACTGAAAATCAAATACTTTTATTTAACACAAAAAAAGAAGAAATATAACATCATAAGAAGAAGACGATTTATCGAAGTGTCTAGAACAGATGTTTTTAAGTTTTTAAATCGTTCATTAGGGAACCGAAACAGCAATAAATCACTCAAAAAATATTTTAACCCGTTTTCTGTATTGCAAATCACAAAAAAGCACTGAAATTCTGCGAAGGCCGAAAAAACACAACACAAACAATGAGATTTGGTGAGGAATCCCGCCAAATTTAGCTCCGCGTGTCCTCAATGACGTGACTCGTTGGCTCCCCCTACATGCGCAATGCTATATCTTTGTTGCATCATGATTTCAGCCTATCCATGCATTTCAAAATTTGCGATCGAGCTATAGTTTCAGTTCTGCAGCATGATGAGCGAGGACACCCCTCATACTGACAAATTCTTCAAACTTGTATGATTAATATGTTCCCACCATGTGTGAATAAGAATGTTTGTTACACGTGTTATCAAAAAAGTTAATA